AATTTAAAGGGAGGAAAATAGATAAGAATGAGGAGGGGCAAGTGGGAAGGGGGAGAAATGACAAGTTGAATGGGAAGGGAAGAGTTTTATGAAGGCGGTATGGCATGGAGGTGGAATTCACGTGGAAACCACATGTGGAATAGGGAACATAAATCGCCTGCACACCCACAGGGAGGGGCACAGCCATTTGCCTCATATTCCAATGCTAAAATGCCCCCATCCTCTTCCGACAACCACTCCCCACCTCAACATCATTCGCCCTCCCCTTATTTTGCTTCATCCATATTCATAGAATTCCATTTCAAAATCAATTCGTAATAACAGGAGTAGTCCATATCTATTATAAACTTTTGTCAGACATCTTATCTTATGTGGGATCCTTAATAGGCTATTATTAATTCATCTTCTTTACTCTTCTCTATATCATTTCGAACATATCATAAATTACCACTCTCGTTGAATTTGTTAAGGATTCCACGTTGAAAAGGTAAGAGATCTAACGAAAGGTTTATAATATACCTTCTATGGTATTAGAATCCAACAAACTCTCGATCAATCTCACATTCAAAAGATAAAAATACCTAGGAAAGATTCCTTTCGCTGAACAACCACCCAGCTCACAAAACTCACTTACCATTAACAACTTGGTCCAACCTTAGATCCTCACTTCTAGTATGGAGCGGATCTCACAGAATTTTCATTAAAAATATTTTTGAAAGAGAATATGTTAATAATAAAACTGAGGATGGAAGAATCGCTCAGCCCAACAAATTTCTAAGTCTGGCCCAAAATGCACTCCTACTTACCAAGACGGCCAGGCCCAATAGCAGTAAGCCCAATATAAAATTCAGAATAAAAGTAGAAATAATTATTAAAAAGGAATCTTTTATGATCTAAAATAATCATCTAGAAAGTTAGAGCATAGCTCAACTAGTCACGACATGTATATTTGATTAAAATAGTGTAGATTTGAATATCCACTCCATTGTACTAAAAAAATCATCTAGAAAAAAAAATTAACATGCACACCCCCACTAAGTAATAAACCAAATTTGATGTTACGCGCTCTAAAAAGGTAAAAATTGTGTCCTCTGTTAGTACCTTATTTTTCTATATATCCGTAATTTATAAAGTATTTTTTTAAATTAATTTTTACACTCTAAATTGACAATGTGTATCAATATCTACCTTAAACTAGTAATTTCATTTATACGTATTGATTTAGAGAAAAAAAATGGAGTAATATAGTTTGCACCTTACTTCTTTTTAGTTAATTACTTATTTGGAACTTCAAGGATGAGCTCTTGATTAATAGATTTTGTTAGAAAGCACGAAAGTTTTACGTAGGGGAGGTGAATTCTTCCATGTGTTTTGTGCATAGTCTCATTATAATAAGACATGATATCATATCAATGGTTTTTATATGTTGGATATTGAAATACGTCTTTAGCTTTAGCAATGGCCATTTCTAAATCAATAATAGTGTTTAAGTCAAATGAGATTAGTTAATGAAATGCAAGCATATGAAAATGAAGATATATGTCAAAATCAAATTGATGAACTCGAATAGACAAATACCAAAGGGGTCTTGATTAATGATTTTCTCTATTATTCAAACTACTCATTAAGATTAGATAAAACGGCAAYTAATATAATTTAAACTTTTACCTTATTTTTTGAAATGAGCTTGTAGTATCATTCATCGATTTCATTCATATCAATCAAAGTAACAATAAAATAGTCAATTTCATTGTTTATCAAAAATTTAGAATTTCGAATTTTTACTTTCATCATTGAACTAAAAGATGAACTTATTTCTAATTGATGGCAGAGATAGTCATATATTTTAATCCAAAGATAATCTGTACGATTAAAAGCATGGGTATTAAAAATGTAATGTAACAACTATTTCTTTCAATTTTAAATCTTACTAAATTAAATAAAAGCATTTGAAAATGAATAAACTTTTTTTTAGTACTAAGATTAAATAAATTTACTTTCCGAGGGAAAAAAAAGTAGTGTCAAATAGATATCACTTTCTAAATTAATTTAATTGGATTGACTTTTTCTCTGCACGCAATTACTTGGTGTCAATATATTAATTACAAGGATCAATATTATTGGGTTGTTGACTTGTATAACATTCATAAATCGCATTCATAAATGTCACAAACTTTAGAAATCTGATGCAGTCATGTGATCATATTCCGTTACAATATAACCAAAACTCCCAAACCTATGATAATTATATAAACTGAATTTTATATTAAAAAAGTTATTTATCTTTTAATTTCTTTTTTTCAAATTTCGCATTTATTCTATCTTTATCTTTAAAAATCTTTTGTCTGCTCTCTAAATATTTATAGACATTTTTTTTGATATCTCTCTCTCGTTATTGTTATTTATTTATTTATGTAGGTCACTTAATTCAAAATAGATATATGTAACTTAAAAGTATAAGTTTAATTTATAAAAAAAAAAAATCTAAATTTTACTACGGAAAATTATTTTCAATTAAAAACACATTTTTAATGCAAAATTTGATATAAAAGCCGAATCTTTGAAAGCGAAAATAAGTGTTGAAATTTGTAGTATATAGTTTTCAAGAGTTTGATTCTTTTCATTTTATTTTCCCTCTTAGTTTACACACGTGGTAGAAATTTACATCAAGGACAAATTTGATGGACTTGGCTGAAAGATTCAAACTAGGTTACCAAAAAAAAAAAACTTTTTTGACAGTATATTTGGTAAATATTTGTATTATATAAATAATTTTCTCGAAAATTTAAAGGTTATGTTATATTTATAGTCACACAATTTTCCAAAATAAAAAAAGGAAAAATTGGAAGAATTGGAAGAAAACTGATTTGATGTTTGAAATGTTAACTTGAATTACAGACCACAATTGCGAAAGGTAATAGTTATAATTTATAAATCCTTGGCGGAAAAAAATAATATAATTTTTTTTTTTTTTTTTTTTGTGGGTGGGAATAATAGTCAAAAGGTGTGATCTCAAATACATTTTCACATTTAAATGCGTTGTCCAGTTGATGTTTAGATATGATTTGCAAAAATAATGACTTTATGCTTCCCAACTGCTAACGTAACGTTTTACCTCACCTCACTTTTCTGATGAATTATTTTGCTCCAAAATAATTTTACCAGTTATTTGTTTCTTTTCTCTTATTATAAAAGATAACTAAAAATGGGATTTGATTTTTTTCTTTTTTAACATCAATTTTTAAGAATGCTAATAATCTCCTAGTTTTTGTTCTAACAACTGATTCAAATAATAACAGTGACAATGATATCAATTGACACGAATTAATCCTCACCCCATCTATGATTGATAAATTCAAAAAAGAAAAAAAATACACGAACGTGGATCGTAGCCCCGATAACCAATTGAGTTGAAACCTTTTTAAATATTTATACCCTAATAGATATCACCTTTTTTTTTCTTAACTTAAAATATATATAGTGAAGTTAAACATAACTCAACTAGTTAAGATATACGTTATGTCAAAAGTTCAAATGAACTTCCACCTCATTATTATTGATATAAAAATAATTTCATAAAATAAAACATTACCAACTTGAGTGTAACTCAATAATTAAAACGTAACTCTAATATAACATTTCTCTTAGGTTAAAAGTGTTGACCTACTATTATAACGTTATATTGTCAAAATAAATAAATGAAATAAAATGAAATAGACATACTACATTTTGCAGCCTATAGTTATAATGTTATATTATCAAACTAAATAAATAAATAAATATACCACATTTAATAATTACATGTGTGGTCCTAGGCATTGAATTTTCTAGACATAAAACACCCACCCCTATTAATTGATGGATCTATAGTGAAAAAAAAAATTAATTGAATTATTTTCTAGTACAATAGTGAAAATATAGAGATAACTTCAAACTTAAAAAAATAATAATAAAAAGAATGTATGACAATTACGGTTGAAGTTGTGCTCATGTTAACCAATCATAGGATTAAACGGTTAACATAGAATTAAACTATAAAAAGACAAAAGGATAAAATTGGGCTCCTCACCCATAAAGAGTAATATTGTCTTACCACCATTAAATATTTGACAACCGAGAGAGAAACGTAAAAACAAAATTTTATTTTAAAATATAATGAGTTGTCAAATATTTAATTATGGTAAGGACAAGATTATTCCTTAATGAGAAGCCAAGTTTTATCCAAGAAAAATACTTCAAAGTTTTTCTTTTTAACTATAATATTTGGGGTAGATGATCAAATTCACAAGCTCTTAGTTTGAGATATATATCAATTACTAAGCGATGTTCGCTTTAGCAAAAAATTAAAGTGTTTCACCTCCACTAACTTTGACATCTAATTTTCAAATAACATCTATGTATTTCTTACTTTGAACTCTTTTAACTACATTCTTTCTAAGGTATACAAATTATGCCTTATCGATTGCCTTTAGTGATAAGCGTACCTCAGATTAATTTCACGGATAGTCGTCTGACCCTACAACATGATCATGATGGAATTTGAACTCATTCATTCTCAAATTCACCCTAGTTCCTTTGGACTAATGATCCAGTCATAATATTTTTAATCTTCCTTATCTGAAAAATTTCAATTTAATCCTTCATAATTTACCATTGTGCAATAATAATACTTTGACTGGAGAATCTTAACATCCATTTGATAATAAGTTTACTTAGAATATGATACTTAAAATCAATTTGAAAATGAATCGACAAAAATTTAGAGAAAAACATTAGATTAGGGTAAAGTTTGTAATTATATTCTTCAAATTTCTAAGAATTAGACATAAATTTCGTTTCTTCCTAAAGCTAATTCTCAACTAATTTTCGTTGATTTACTAAATATTATCACGTAGCCTTATCATCAACAAATTTAAATATATTTACCAAGAAAGAAAATAGTATAATTGAGATACTTATCAACCTTTTGTCGAAACTTCAAACGAAATTTTGATCCGTGGGGAAAAAGGAAAAAGGGATAAAATAAAATAAACATACCCCAAATTAAAAGCAAAAATCTATCCAAAAAACATTCCAATTTGATTTCATTTGTGTTCTCCTTCTCCCTTCAATGGTTCGCACAAGAAAGCTCAGCGGCCTTATCGGACTCATCAAAGACAAGGCCTCTCAGAGCAAAGCCGCGCTAATCGCCAAGCCCAACATTCTCTCCTTCCAACTCGCCCTCCTACGCGCCACCACCCACGACCCCTACGCGCCGCCCCACGACAAGCACCTCGCCGCCCTTCTCTCCCTCGGCAAAACCTCACGCGCCACCGCCGCCGCCGCCATCGAAGTCCTCATGGACCGCCTCCAGAGCACCCACAACTCCGCCGTCGCCCTCAAGTGCCTCCTCGCCGTCCACCACATCCTCAAACACGGCGGCTTCATTCTCCAAGACCAGCTCTCTGTTTTCCCCTTCACCGGCGGCAGAAATTATCTCAAACTCTCCGATTTCCGGGACAATTCCAGCCCGATTTCTTGGGAGCTTTCCTCTTGGGTCCGCTGGTACGCCCAATACATCGAAACCGTCTTGTCCACCTCCCGAATTTTGGGCTTTTTCGTTGCCTCTTCCTCTTCAATTGAGGAGAGGGAGAAAAAATCAGAGCAGATTTCCGCCGTTTTCAACTCCGATTTGCTCAGAGACACCGAATCTTTGGTGGGTTTAATCGAAGAAACCACCAAGAAGCCTCATTCTTTGCATCTCAACGCCAACAAATTGGTGGACCGGATTCTCGGATTTGTCGCCGACGATTACTTGTCGGCTATGAAGGAAATTTCCGTCCGAGTTACTGAGTTCCACCAGCGCTTGAGTTGCCTGAGTTTCGGCGAATCGGTCGAGTTGGTTTGCGTCTTGAAACGCCTCGAGGATTGTAAAGAGAAGCAATCGTTGGGTATTTCTGCAAAATATGAGATTTTGATGGATGGGTTCTGGGGCTTGATTTGGGAAACCAAGAACTTGATTGGGGAGACCAAGGAAAATCGAGACGGCACCGGCGCCGGCGGTAAATTGATCATGACCACGGCCAGGATGAGCGACTCGGGCCGGTTTATGGAGCGAGCTAATATTTACCGCGACTCGATCCGGTTCGGTTCGGAGAGGTTCGATTTTCAACTGCAAACGGATTCCGGTCGTGGGCATAACGGAACCGTATTTAATTAAATGATTGTATCGTGCCTAATAGAGACAGCGTTTTTGGTAATCTATTACTATTTTTGTAGATAATTTTCGTTTTGTTTTGTCTTCTAGAATTTCCTTTCGATTGATACCATAGTTCTTATAGTTTAATTTTGGTCAAAATATAATATAGTTTTTGGTGTATTCATAGTGTACATAAAGTTAACTAACATTAAATTTGTTGCAAGTGAGAATTCTTAAAAAAGAAACTAGGATTTGTAGTTTAGTCAAAGTCAACTTTTTTCACCAAATAGTTTTATTCAATCTCATCAAAAGTCGGGATTAAATTGGATTTGAAAAATCTAATTTTTTTTTGTTCAACGTGGGAGAAGAGATTTGAACTCACGATCTTTTTGTTAGAAATAAATGTCTTGACCAATTAAGTCATATTTAGATTGGTTGAAAAATTCAATCTCTAATTTGAGAAAGGTGCATAAATTAATTGAATTAACTTTTTTAAATGGAATTCTAACTTTTTTAATTATTCAAAAAAATATATATAATGGGTTGATCCAAAAGGCCCAATCCTAAATGGGCCAAGCCGTAGGCCTAGCTACTATTGATGCCGAGTGATACGAAATTGGGCCTGAGTTCGTGGATGTTTGATCTTAATTTTGTTGTGCGTGTGACGTATTCACTTTCTCTCTCTCCGGGGAAAATTCTGTTCTTTGAAAATGAAGTATATTTCCCTTTTTAGATTTTTACAACTTTAATCTTATATAAAATAAAATAAAATAAAAAAGAAAAAAGAAAAGTAAGATCCATTTTCAGTGGGCAAATCTTTGGATCACTTTTATTATTTTTAGAAAAGTAAATAAAACGAACTAGGGCATGACGAAAATACCCCTCATTAAAGTCAGATCTATTTGTTTTGCTATTTTTGTTATAAAAATGATCTCTGTTGAAACCATTTTCCTGCGTTGAAAGAAACAATGATTTTTATTTATGTTTAGAGACAATTTTTTTATTGAGTACAAGGTGACGATGAAACTTACAATCTATTGGTTTGAGATATATGTCAATTATTACTTGTTTTAGCCAATATTTAAATAAAATATTCCTTTCTAAAACGATTCTATATTTTAGTCCATGTTTATCTAAATAAATAACATATAGAACACTATATTATCATTCAATCTCTCAATGGGCCATAATTTAATTATCATTAAATATATATATATTATATATATAAAGTACTATAGAGGACCATGCATTAGCTAGACTAGTATCTCTCAATTATTTTCCTCGGATCCTTTTTTGGCTCAAGTGTGTGTTTACTCATACTCGCTTCCCTAATAAAAAGTTCCGATGTTTAAGTTAGAATCGGAGTACTTCTCTATTTATAGGAGTTGAATCCCGATCCCTTTAACATTTTGAATTCCTTAAATAAAGGAATTTGAATCATAGAAAATTATAACAGGTTCGGTTAAGGACAAGAGAGGTGTCTTTGTTTTTTGTTTCACCCAAAAGGTCTTATACCAATGGAAATAATTGTTCTCTCTTGGATCACTCCCTTTCCTAGTTAAGATGGGAATTTGTTTGCATTTCCCTTACAAACCCAAACAGATCCCATTTCAAAATCAATTGGAATGAGAGGAGAGTAGCACAACCCTCAAGATAGTGACTCCGAAGGTTCGTTTGAGCTTGTTTGGGGTTCTAAGTACCGTATCAACGTTCATAAAGTTCTATCTTAAAATCAATTGACAATAAGAAGAGTAACACATGTATCTTATAAACTTTGCTAATTAGTTGCTTGATCTTCTTCATTGAAACTGGGAAAATAGAGAGGAATTAGATGTTTTGGAATTGAATTAGTACAAAAGGGCCGGGAAACAAAAACAAGTACACATTATTATCGAGTTAGATATGGATGGTATTGGCAGAAGGGGTTTTTGGAGGAGTTCTCCAAATTGCCATGTTGCGACAAATTAAAATCTTTGGTGGGAGATTTGGCAGCATAGAAATAATGGAAGTGTTGCTTGAAAACACAGGGAAAGTGAATATAATACATGCTTTTGTCCAAAGGGAATCAGACAGAAAAAAAAAGGAAAAAAATGCCCTTAATTACATCAAATCTATGCCAATTGCCATACACTTGTGAAAGGAACAGTCCTAGCTCGCCTCTTTACATAGCCATGCAAAAAAGCTTTCACAATCCGAGAGACAAAAGTTGACTGTGACGAAGATTTAAGAAAAAATAAACTAGCTACTTCCCCGAAATAGTTTAGGCTTTGGATAACCATTTTGTGTTTTCTTTTCATTTCTTTTTTTTTTTTTAATTTATGCTTGTATCCTAATTACAAATTCATTGGGGTCTATTTTTCACATTTTTCTAGAAACACATCCGGGTTAGAACTTAGAAGGCCAAATTTTAGGAAAGAAAACAAGTTTTTTAAAAATTAATTTGGTATGTTTTCAAAGCTTGGTTTAGATTTTGAAAATATCTCTGAAAAATAAGATAATAAAACAGAGAAACAACTAGGTAGAGGGGGGTGTTTATAAGTTTAAAATTTTAAAAATATTATCAAAGGGGAAATTCTGTTTTTAGGGGGAAAAAACAGTACCTTATTTTGGTTAATTTTTTTTAAACGATTATTTAGGTTAAATTATCATTTTAATACTTACGGTTTGTGGCAAGGAAAAACCACGAGGCACCATGTGTAGATATACCCTCAAGAAAACGTGCATCGGGCCTCCTCCACTGGCAAAGTGGATGCACAAAGCGTATCGAGACAATGCCAAGCGTACCACAAAGGGAAGCTGAGTGCACTATTCATATGCCTCCAACACAGTTAGAAGTCTTAACAAACTAACCTAGAGAGCATCTGTCACGCAATGTCAAAAGCGTATCCTAGACACAGCCGCACCACTTTGTGCTAGTAAGGAAAAGAACACATAATGTCGAGAGGGATCCCCACACTCCCAATTGGCTATATATCCATCTTGTTGCACGACTCTCTCTTTCCTTATATATAAGGAAAAGAACAACCCAATAAAAATAAGCCGAATTTACTTACACAACCTTGTGTGAGGATCGACACACAACTCTCAAGCAACTCTCACTTGTATAGCACAACACCAGTGTTAGATTTCTATGTACAGATAACGAGAGTTTGGAGGCAAAAAAACGTATGTATGACACCTGTGTGGTGTTTACATTTGAAATAATTTAAATTTGATTCCTATGACTTCAAAGTTTTAATTATAGCACCTATGGTTTGGTTTAGATCTCTTTTATTATTCATATATGTTGACCATTCTTTTTTTTACTACATGCAGGGATGAAGGTTCGAACTCACCATTTTTGTTGGATATAAATGTCTTGATTTTAATTGATACACTCCAAATTTTAGACCACGGTGTCTAATACCTTTTCCCCATTGTTACTTAATCATAATGCAACTGATATGTAATAAATTAAACTTTTCAAACGTTTTAAATGGTAACTCATTTTTTTGTTTTTTTTTTACAACATATATGAGGGAAATTTCAATATACAACAATTTTGTCGTAGATATGTCTTAATCAGTTAGTATGTTCACGTTGACTTTAAAACGTGACTTTTAACACGTTTTTGATGCATTACCCAGGTAGTGATCAAGATTAGATCTTGAAAGCAACTTGAAAAGGCCTAAAATTCACTCAAGAGAGAGATAGAGAGACGAGGCTTTGAAATTTTGATCAAGACAAAATTCTCTTCCACACACAAATTCAATGAACCCACATATGCCAACTGGTTGCTTTAATATAATTTGCATCAAATTTTGTATTTTTGTATTTTTTGTATTTTTTTTTTGTGTTCAATAATTGAGAAAACTCCTAAAGGAAATATTTTGTGATATTGAAAGAAATGGCTGTTCTGTTTTTTTTTTTTAATTTATTTATTAAATCATTATGCATTGTCTTCTATTGTTGAAAAAAATATATATATATCTCCAAGTTGGAACCATTCTCCAAGTTGGAGATTTGGTGTGTGAGTAATCTCTATCTTCAGGTAGTCTTTCTAGGTTTTTGGTTACATATATGATAGAAATTATTTTATGTGACATGAAATAAGTTTTGAAATTGACATAGATTAGTAAGAAACATTATTAAGAAGATGTATATATATTGTTCAATATTCTCCAAAATTTCTTAGTTGTAGAAGTTAAAATGTTACTCTTCATAATGTTAATGGATATTATTTATAATTAATTTAGCTTTTTTTTTTTTTTCAGAATCCTAAATTTTCCTTTCAAAATTGACACATAATGATGACAAAATAAAATTGAAGGATGAGGAAAAATGACACCATAAATTTATATAGATTTGTCCGATAAAAATTGTATATATTTGTGGTAATGGTATCTCTATTTGGTATTAGTGGTGAGGCAAATGTAGGCCTTGTTCGATGACAGTTTCGTTTTACCTCTCTTATAAATACATTATGATTATTAGTCAATTTTTTTTTCAAAAAAATACTTTTTAGTTTTAAAAAAATTAACTTAAAATTCGAAAACATTTTAAAAGGTAAATATCAAAACAAAGAAACACCTAGGTGGAAGTAGTATCTTAAAGCTAAATTTTTAAAAACAAAAAATTAAGATGAAATATATAGTTATCAAATAAGGTCGTAATTGGTTACTCATGGGCTAAAGAATAATGAGAAATTAGGACATATTTGGCCTCCACCCATTTCGTTCATGGATGGAAGCCTTTTGTTCGAGTCCTACCCATGTGAATATATTTTATTTTCCTTAAAAAGAGACAAGAGACAGGATGTGAGCATGAGCATGGGTATGGGTACAAAAAATAATATGTAGTCCCATATTACAGAGATGTAGTTTTAAATTTTGCCCTTTTTTTAAGGTTAGACTTCGATCGAGCACCCACATTTGTTATACTAAAAAACTATTTTTTAGTTTTGATTTTATAAGTAATATGTGTGCATGGTCCATCTTTTAGGATGACACCACGACAACAGACGATTTAGGATGATTTTTTAGGTTCTATATTCGAGCCTTGCGTTGGTCATAATATTGTTCAGACTAGACGAGTCTCGATTCTATGGAATTACTCAGCATAAAACACATGACATCGATTTTGAAAAATTAAAAAAAAAGTTTTAATTAAAATATATTTTAATAATAAATAGTTTAATTAAAATTATTTTCTTCAGAGTGGTCTTGATGATAAATTTATTTGATTGTACTACACTAAAGTGATTTCATTTGGACTGATTTGAATCACATTTTCGAATAATCAACTTTAATATATTTCTTCTAGAAATAAATTTAAACCAATTCTATTTTGATAGCGTTTACCAAATTAGTGGGAATCAAATAGTGGGACCCACACAATTTTTTCATTCTATTTCTCTAAAAAAATGGTAATCTCATTTCCCTTCTTACCCTCCCATCAATCTCATTATCGTTCCTTATTCGGTGGGTTCCACATATTTATTGGTACTAATAATATTTTTCTAATATCAATTTTTGCCAAAAGAGTAATCTCACTTTATGAAAGTAGTTTGAATTTTTTCTTTTCATCTTTTTCAAACATTATTGTGTCTCACTGTTTTCTTTTCCAAACCAAACATTTTATCTTTCGATTTAACGTTAATCTTTATAATGTCGTAAACTAGTTGAGTTGTATACTTTTTTTTTAGTATGGGGAGGATCGAACTCACAACCTCATATTGGTTTGAGATATATGTCAATTAGCGTTGTATGCTCTTTGACAGTTGGATTGTATACTTAAGAATGTTCACATCCATAAAAAAAACTATTATATACCAAAAGGTAGAGTATACCAAGGATTTTAAATGTCGATGTTGATAGAAATGTGGATAAAACGTCTATATCGATGAATATTTATAAAATAAATATAACAAATTTTAAAATTATTAATATTAATATTATATTAATATTAGTGATATTTTTTTTTGATATTTTTATATTTTGACAATTTTTTGTTGTTGTGATATTATAGAAATGCTAACCCACTCTTTATGTTGATATTGAACTGGCCATAAACATAAAAAATTACTGTTGGAAATGTCGATACGTGAACGAATATTTAATACTTAAAGTATACATCAACCCAATGCCCTAACACACAGAAGAGTTAATCAAAAAGAAAAAATTGTGGAACGTATGGATGGAAAATGAATTGTACGTGTCGAATGGATCAAAGAAAGGAGGGTTCCTCTACTAACCATTCCAGCTAAAATTGATTAGCGTTGTTATCTAGTTTGAACAATCTCTGGGGTATTATACCAAAAAAAATTAGGACCTGTTTGGTTGGAAACTCAGATTCTGTTTTTGTTTTCAGATTCACTGAATCAAATGGATCCAGAGAATACGCGTTTAGCACGATTTTGGATATTTGTTTTTTAAAACTGTTTTCTCGGTAATTCAAATAGTAAAAATTTTGACAACGATTTTTTTTTTTTTATGTTTTCAGATTCATAATTTGAAATTTTTGAAAATGCAGAATTACATTAAAAATGATAAAAACTAGGATAAATATATTACTTCATATTATAAACTCATTTTCTGTTTGTTAAAATTAAAACATGTAAAATATAATGTATTCTAAATTATATAACCTTGTAAAATAACAGTTATACAAAATTCATAAAAAAAATATTAATAAATTAATTAATATAAGTTTAGATTAAACTAAAATTTAGTTTGCAACTATTTATAGTTTACAAATATACTAAACACATATTGAATAATTTTTTAAATTGAGATTCAATTATCAAATCTTCTACCAAACATATATTTTGAAAACAATGAATACAACTCTATTCAAATTTATATTTTCTGATTACCAACATATTCATAGAAGACCAATAGTAGGCCGCCTTTACTCGATTTGTGTTTACATTTTATTAATGATAGACCAATAAATGACAAATCGGTCGAAAATCTATTTCCAATTTAACATTATGAAAAGAATTCTATCAAACAGTTGGTATGCATCCCCCCATGTCAATAGAAACACAGTGAGCTGAGCTCCGTCCCTGTCCCACACATACAAATAAACAAGATTTCGTTTAAAATTATAACTCAGTCCTACACTCCTATCATATCATATTTTATTAATACAAATTAATTGTGCCTGTGTATAAATATTCCCCCTTCTTCTTCACCAATCATCTTCAATTTTCTTTTTTTATCCATAGCAAACAGAGAGAGAATGGTGCTGGGTCTAGAATCTGTAGCGTTTCAGCAGGACTTGATTGCTTGTGGGTGGAAGGATCTGCAACCCATGGGGAGCGGTGAGATTCTTCGGAGCTTTGTCTATGGCGGATTTGGAGAAAACGACTGTGGCGGCGGCGGCGGAGCTGAGATTTTGAATACACCCAATTGGGGACATTCTTCGCCAAATTCTGCCTCCTTCCCGGAATATAATTGTGCTCTGAATAAACGGTCGACGGAGGGTGATCCGGCGGCGAAGAGAGGGCGGCGAAAGCGGCGGAGGGGAAAGATGGTGAAGAATAGTGAAGAAATTGAGAACCAGAGAATGACCCACATCGCCGTCGAACGCAATCGGAGAAAGCAAATGAATGAGTACCTTTCTATGCTGCGTACCATGATGCCTTCTTCTTATACCCAAAGGGTAAGATTATGCTTCTTAATCCTCCTCTCCTACCCTCCTCCTCAATTTATCTTTTATGACTCTGTAATAGAAATCGTGTTGGCTTTGTCAGTTGGATCCTTGTAACAGGCGTTGTAGGACTGCCCTGAATAGAAAGAAAATCACGTTCTGCACGACTTGAATGGGAGAAGGAGTATCCTCATTCGACCAGAAATCAACTAAGCCACTCCCTATTGGTAGTTACCACTTCAATTTTTAAAATATCTATATTTAATAGATATTTAAATTTTAGGAAATATCTAATAAATAAAAAATTTATGGACACAAGCTTACTTTCTTGATTTTTTCTTTTTAATTCTTGAGCCGGGACTTTTAAAATTATGAATGTCTAGTCACGTAGTTTAAAAAAATTAACCTTTCATAATATCTAATAAAATTTTGTTAATGTGTAACTCTCAATCTCACGCCATAAAAATGTCTTAATTTTCTTTTCTCCCAACTAATATGTCGAAAGGATCAAATAAATAGTCAACAGGAGTATAATTCAACGATAATTAACACCTATTTCAAATCGAGAGATTGTGAGTTCAAATCTCTTACCCCACCTAATATCCTAAAAAATATCAAGTACAGTAAATATATCATATAACAACGAACAAAACTAAACTAAAGGTAGAAAAATTAATAAACACAAAATTTAAAGTTCTCAAGTGGGTGGAAGAATTAAATAGAGAAGATCGCAAAATCTTAATTTAATCTGAAAAATGGTGAAATGGGCAGGGAGACCAGGCATCAATCGTGGGAGGCACGATCAACTTTGTGAAGGAGCTGGAACAACTTGTGCAATGCTTAGAGGCTGAGAAGCAAACCCATAATTTTTTCTCCGGCCGTGACTCGGTCAACTCGGCCGCGGAGAATCGGGCGATGACGGTGGACGTGGAGGTGACGGTGATAGAAAGCTACGCCAATATCAAGATGATAGCAGAGAAGCGGCCGAGGCAGCTTCTAAAAGTGGTGGTGGAATTACATTCTCTTCACCTTTTAGTTCTTCACATTAACGTCACAACTATTCGCGAAATGGTTCTCTATTATTTCAGCGTTAAGGTAAATCAAATAATCTCTTCCCAATACAATAATAAATAATAAACAGAATATTCCACATCAATACATAGGTACACTTTTATCATAGACTACAATTTATAATTCAACCAAAATACAAAGTTAAACAGAAATTGAAGTTCCAAAAGAGTAAAAAATAAAATAATGAACAAATTTAAGCACCAAAAATGATTATTAACAAAAAAGAAAACATTTGACTAATATTTCATTGAATTATTTGATTGGCAGATTGAGGATGACTGTAAACTGAGCACAGTGGGTGAGATTACTGCAGCTGTGCATGAAATGTTCGGAAGGATCCATGTGGAAAATTTTGTCGAGTTATATATTTAATTTCAGCATTATAGTTCTTTTTTTTTTTAATTTCAATTAGATTAATGTTTTTCTAAGAGGTCAATTAGATTAATGTTACTATCTAATCATTTGATGTATTTGGATCCATATTTATATTATATATTAAATTGCAGATGATTGGAGCATCAGTTTGAATATTTTATTTTCAACACCCCATGGATCATTTCCATATGTCAGATATTTAATTCTTTTTTTATTTAATTGATGCACATCATTTATTAATGTTACTTTTTTTCCGTCTAAAAATATCATATATAGTACTTATTAAATATATAAACAAAATATTCACGTCAAAATTAGTATAGCAGTATAATCGATATATATCTCCAACTAAGAGACTTGATAAAGGTTATGTTGTTTCTCTCCGACCAAGTCCAGTAGAAAAGATACATAAAATATTTTGTTAGTTTGTAAGCAAGATTGAGAGATTTTCTCTAATGAAGAGGTCTATATGTTTAAGGAGAACGAGAACTTTATGGAAAATCTCAAGAAAGACATACCATAGAGTCGATGTGAAAGGGCATTGAAGAAAGAGATTGTCCAGAGATTTAGCAGGTGAGTTGCAAATTAGGGATGCACTAATTTGGATTGATGCATAAAGATGAGGAAATGGAGCGTGTCCTGTGCATTGAGCATTGTTATTATAATGAGTAGCTACACTAAACTATTAAATTGGAGACTTGCTCCCATCTGAGTAGATTTTTCTTTTAGTTAAAAAAAATAAAAAAGGTGAGAGATTGAATCTTTGACTCTAAAAAAGATAATTGATGGTATTGAGCTATAGTTGGATTTGGCTCTATATGAGTAAATTCGCTTGCCAAACGTGCATTTAGTCATGACATATGTTTTGTCGAAGTAGATGTGTGTTGAGATTGATGACTACGACACTCTATAATTCTAAAATTAAAAGAAAATAGTCAAGAGAAACAAAAAAAATACAACCCCGAAGCATTAGGAATTGCATGTCTACAAAAAATCGTGAGTTAACGTTTCTTATTTTCTATCTTTTAATAAATAAAAACTTAAATATATTCGATAACCATTCAATGTTTCTAGTCCGAAAAAAACTTGATTTTGTTATTCTTAAAATTTCTATTATTTCAAAAATATTTTTTGAAATGAAAAACGAAAAAGAAAAGTTACTAAAATACTTATATTTCTAGTAAATTAGAAATAAAAAATAAGAAAGCAAGGTTGAAACCAATTCGTCAGCCTAGGCACATGGCTTGTACCAATACTATTGGTGGGCTTTATTTATTATTTATTATTTATTTTTAGTTTCGTCTCTAATTTTCTTTTCTTATTTAAATTCACCATTAAAAAAAACTTCAATTACACATTGGTTAGGTTTATACTTTTTTAATTTTTGAAACACCAATTATAATTTTTTTAAAAACTATTTGATCATCATTTTATATTTAAAAATTAGTTTTAATCACTAATATTTTATTTGATTAAAAATATAAAAATATTCTCAAAATTCTAACCATGCTCTAACAATTTTTACATGACTACAATTTAATTAGTTAAGGTATTAATCAATAGGAGTATTTTTTTAATGTAGTAAGTTCGAAGTCTCATCCCTTAGAAAAAGATTTTAAATTATAGATTATATTTGGATTAATTTGTAAAATATTGAGATAAAATTTTTGAATTAAAAATTAAAATCATATTCAAATAACAAATTCAAATACAATGTTTTTATAAATTAACAAAGCTAATTTGAAATATTAAAAAAACAGCATTTAAGAAAATAAACTTGATGTTTTAAAATTTTAGAATAAATAAATAAAGATATATAATTAGCTTTAAAGTATAATTGAATATTTAAAGAATTATTCATTTGAAATATGACAAGGAAATTCAAAACAAAAGTAAGACTGCTTGGTGCTGGTAAGTTTTGTCCATCCTGCAAACCAAATTTTTAACTGAATTAGAAAGCAATTAAGAAAAAGAATATGAAAAAAGAGAAAACAAATAAAATAATATAACCATATGTAATTAAAAATATTTGAGAATCAATCTTATATTTGTAAAATATAATATTATACGGTTGAGCAAAATTTACATACTCCCTAATAACTATTAGATACATCATTAAAATAAGTTTTATAATTTATTGAGTGGTGTAAAATGACATTCCACATCACAATAGAATAGATACTCAAAGGTCAGAGTATAACAACACGTACGTCATACCCTTTAGCTCGAAGAACAATACCTCAAAAAATTTTTGTCAACTTCGACCTTAACCAGGATGGGGACGACGCATTAATGAAATTGCTCGCCCACTATTGTAGATCTCTTATTGAGAGAATCTTACTGTTGTGCTTGGTACTGTTGAGTGAACCCCACGCATCAACGTCTATAAATACATGATCAAACTTTATGCACATGTAAACGATTTCTCGTTTTGAAACTGTACCTCGAATTCAACTGACTCAAGTGTCGAAACTTTTTTCCTTCTCTGTCCAGGTTTCTCTTTGTACTTTCCATGATTTTTTCAAGACCTATAACATTTCGACAATATGATTTTGAACAATCTAATCCACTTGAGTCTCTCGACAATCAAATCCTAACATAAAACATAACCGTAAAAAAGACCTCTTACACATAATTAACAATTTTTAAATAATATTGATGTCAATACGAGCTTAACTTATAGATAAAGATACTTATTATCTTCTTTAAAGTTCCGAACTCACATTTATTGCAATTGCAATAAAGGAAAAAAAAACGAAATTGGAAATTGCCTAAAACAATAAAAACCCCTTAATAAACGTGATTTGAGAATTTAAACCCTTGTGCTCCAAGCAAAGGATTTTTATTTTTTTAGTATAAGGAATATAAAGGTTAAAAGGTGAAGCATGCTTTTATAAGGTCATTATTTATATTATACTATATTTATTTATTATTTATTATTATACGTTAAAAGTGGGGAACTGAAAGAATTATTTTAAAATTTAGGCAAGGTAGGTAGAGAGACGAAATCCTAAATTCCAGAAGTTGTGATTTCTACTGATTGTGAAGGAAAAAACAGTCAGCTTTCAAGACCCAACCAAGTCTTCAGTCGCAAGAATAATCAGTAAAACCCACAATCGTTCAACGGAAGCCGAAGAAATTCTCAGCTTCAGGGAGCTACTGCACCAGGTTTGTGTGTTCTTCTCCATCATCTGAACAGAAATTTGCTTTTCTTTAACTCTCTGTCTCGCTGCTTCTAGGGTTTTATCAGTCTCCGTTCGATGCCACGATGAAATCTTCTTCCAGGCCACCGGATTCTTCCGCGGCATGTAATCGCCCTTCCAATTTACTCAACGTTCAGCGTTCTCTGCGTTCCCAGAGGCCCGACTTTCCAGTCAATTTTCAGAGTTATTCTGCGCAACGAACTTACCCGAACCGCGCGAATTTTGTTATTGACCTCGTCTTGGAGCACCGCGGAGCACTGAAAATTTCGGTTGAGGCTTTAATTGCAAAATGCGACTCCAAGCCGGACAATTTTATTGTCCTGCCGCCCGGTACTGTTGCCGCGGTTTTGTTTTTCAAGCAGTGGGTTAGTGCGCGCGAGGCTATGGTAGGGTTCTGGGAATTGCGCCTCCACGGGGTTCATGATTTTACTCCCATTCTCAAACCTAAGATCTATTTGCCCTCTGATGTCGAGGAGCTCGATGACCGCCTTCGAGAGCCTTTTGCTGACTTTATCAAGAGTCTAATGGATGGCCAGAAGGTTCAAGATTGGCAAAACAAATGCGATGATGTTGTGGTTCAGATTGACCGAATTTCGGATACCCTTCGGAAGCCCCTTCGTATTGCCACTCACTTTGAACTCACCGAAAAGAAGAAGGGGCTTATCATCGAGAAGTGCTCGATTATGAGGAAGATGGAAGAGTTTAAGTCTGCCATGCGTTACATTCTGGACTACGTGGAAGGGGAGAAGCTGGAAATATCAGATAGCGAGGAAGTGGGAGTTTTTAGATTTGATGGGACACTCAACTGGAACCGGATTCATAGCTTGGTTTTGAGAGAATGCCGTAGACTCGAGGATGGTTTGCCCATGTATTTTTACCGCCGAGAAATCGTTCAGCGAATTCACAGTCAACAGGTCTCCTTTTCTCTCTTCAGCTTTTGATTTTATTTTCACCCTGACATTTTAATCCTCTGTATTTATTTGATTGCCGTTAGTTGTTGGAGGTATAGACCTGTGATTTACCAAGCCGTTAATGCCACAGCTGTTTCAAGAAATAATCGATCTCATTAGAAAGATAAAAGTTGGGTACTCTTGGGGTTGTGACTAATACTTAGTTTCCAGATGAAACTTCATAAAATATGTTAATTATTGAAAAGTACACTTTAAATTATTAAAGACTTTTATTGATCACAATCATAGCTTTTGTGCATCATGAGTGTTGGATAAGAAATAGACGTGCCACAGACAGTCACACAGTTTATAAAGTTGTCCCTTGACGGTTATATGAAGGTAACTCTTTGAAACGGTCTAACATTCATAAACAATGGGTTGATGCGACAACATTCTCATAGTTCTTAATGAAAGTGCAGTTCTTTTTCAAAAAAAAAAGAAAAAAAATTATAATTGTTCTGTATAGACTTGAAGAAATAAATAGTGTGATTCTCAAGTAACTTTTAGACCGAAGTTATCCATACATCATTGTGTATCATGTAGTTATGGTTATTGTTATGTAGGTAATGGTATTGATTGGAGAGACTGGTTCTGGAAAGAGCACTCAGTTGGTCCAATTTCTTGCTGATGCAGGACTTGGTTCTAAGTCCATTATATGTACACAACCTCGCAAGATATCTGCTGTCTCCCTTGCGCATCGGGTTAGAGAAGAATGTCGTGGGTGTTATGATTATGATGATGATTACATATGCTGTTATCCATCATTTTCATCTGCTCAGCAGTTCAAATCTAAGATAATATACATGACTGACCACTGTTTACTGCAGCACTACATGAATGATAAGAAGCTTTCTGATATTTCTTGCATTATAATTGATGAGGCTCACGAAAGAAGTTTGAATACTGATCTCCTTTTGGCATTACTCAAGAGTTTACTCATGGTGAGGATAGACTTGCATCTTATTATTATGTCTGCAACAGCCAATGCAGAGCAACTATCAAAATACTTTTTTGGTTGTGGAATCTTTCATGTTCAGGGGAGGAACTTTCCTGTTGATATTAGATATGTTCCTCCTTCCGATGAAGGCACTTCTGGTTCTTTCATTGTTCCTTCATATGTTACCAATGTCATAAGAATGGCATCTGAGATTCACAGACAAGAAAAGGGAGGGACAATTCTTGCCTTTTTGACTTCTCAGATGGAAGTAGAATGGGCATGCGAAAATCTTCATGCTCCTGGTGCAGTTCCATTGGCATTTCATGGTAAGCTATCCTTTGATGAGCAACTTCGTGTTTTCCAGGACTATCCTGGAAAGAGAAAGGTTATTTTTGCCACAAATCTTGCAGAGACATCATTGACAATTCCTGGGGTTAAGTATGTTATAGATCCTGGATGGGTCAAAGATAGCAAATTTGAACCAGGAAGTGGTATGAATATTCTTAAGGTTTGCAGAACCAGCCAGAGTTCTGCTAATCAACGAGCTGGTCGCGCTGGTAGAACAGAGCCTGGTAGGTGTTATAGACTTTACACAGAGTCTGAGTTTGAGCTAATGTCCCCTAATCATGAACCCGAGATTCGTAAGGTTCATCTGGGTGTTGCAATATTGAGAATTCTTGCCTTAGGTGTAAAGAATGTGGATGATTTTGACTTTGTGGATGCTCCCAGTGCTGAAGCTGTTGACATGGCCATCAGGAATCTCGTTCAATTGGGAGCTATTACACTGAATAGTAGTGTTTATGAACTAACAAATGAAGGTCGTAAGTTAGTAAAGTTGGGCATTGAGCCACGCCTTGGCAAGTTGGTTCTTAGTTGTTTTAGTTGCCGTGTACGTAGAGAAGGTGTCGTACTTGCTGTTTTAATGACAAATGCTAGTAGTGTGTTTTGCAGAGTTGGTAAGGTTGAAGATAAACTAAAATCTGATTGTCAGAAGGTTCAATTTTGCCACCCTGATGGTGACCTTTTTTCTCTTCTCTCAGTCTATAAACAATTTGAAGGTTTGCCTAAGGAGAGGAGAAACAAATGGTGTTGGGAGAACAGCATTAATGCCAAAACTATGAGAAGATGCCAAGATTCCATCTTGGAATTGGAACGCTGTCTCAAACAAGAACTTAACATTATCATTTCAAGTTATTGGCTATGGAGTCCGCTGAAGCCGACAGACCATGATAGAAATCTTAAAAAGTGCATACTTGCTTCTCTTGCTGAAAATGTGGCCATGTTCACCGGTTATGATCGACTGGGTTATGAAGTGGCAATGACTGGACAACATGTTCAGCTACATCCTTCATGTTCTTTGCTAATATTTGGTGAGAGGCCCAAATGGGTGGTGTTCGGTGAAATTTTGTCAATAAGTAATGAATATTTGGTATGTGTAACTGCTTTTGATGTTGATGCTTTGTCTACCCTTTCCCCTCCTCCCTTGTTTGACATATCTCATATGGAGAAACATAGGCTGGAAGGAAGAGTTCTTACTGGCTTTGGCAAAACTCAGCTTAAAAGGGTTTGTGGGAAAGGCAACAGTAATCTTATTTCTCTTACATCACGTGTTCGAAAAGTTTTTGGTGATGAGTGCATAGGCATTGAAGTTAATATTAATCAGAATGAGATTCTGTTGTTTTCAAGATCAGAGAACACGGAAGAGGTGTATCGTTTTGTGAATGATATTTTGGAGTATGAAAGGAAGTCTTTGTGGAATGAATGCATGGAGAAATGCTTGTATCGGGGAAATGGTGGCTCACCTCCTGTTGCTTTGTTGGGTGCTGGTGCTAAAATAAGACATCTGGAACTTGAGAAGAGATATTTGACTGTTGATGTATTTCATTCAAATGTGGATGCTATTGATGAAAAGGAGCTTTTTATGTCTCTTGAGAAATCTGTCTCTGGTACTGTTTGTGCTATTCACAAAGTTTCAAGTTCTGGGCAGGATGATGATGACAAAGGAAGAGGGCATAGAATAACATTTCTTACTCCAGACGCAGCTGAAAAAGCTTCCGAGCTCAACGGTGATTCCTTGTGTGGATCTTTGGTGAAGATAATTCCTTCACAGATAACTGCTGGATGCGATAATAAACTATTCTCTTTTCCTCCAGTCATAGCTAAAGTCTGTTGGCCTCGTAGGTTGAGCAAAGGATTTGCTATTGTTAAATGTAACATTTATGATGTAGGTTTCGTTGTAAATGATTTCTCTAATCTACTGATTGGAGGAAGGTTCATACGGTCCGAACGAAGCATAAAGTACAATGATTGTGTTGCTTTAAGTGGACTCGACAGAGAGGTTTCTGAAGCTGATATTTTAAATGTATTGAGGTCTGCAACAGACAGGAAAATTTTGGATTTCTTTTTGGTCAGGGGAAATCCTGTTGACAATCCTCCAGTTAATGCTTGTGAAGAAGCTCTCCTGAAAGAAATTTCTCCTTTTATGCCTAAATCGAATCCTCATGTCAAGTGTTGCCATGTTCAAGTTTTCTTACCTCAACCCAAGGATTATTTCATGAGAGCTTCCATAACTTTTGATGGAAGGTTGCACTTGGAGGCAGCCAAAGCTTTGGAGTATTTGGAAGGAAAGGCACTGCCCATATGTCTCCCATGGCAGAAGATTAAGTGCCAGCAGCTATTTCATAGTACTTTATCTTGTACTGTCCCCATTTACAGAGTGATAAGATATCAACTGAATGCTTTACTTGCAAGCTACAGGAAGATAGATGGTATTTTCTCTATTGAATCTTCGTCCTTTTCCAAAGCTCTATTAGATTATGGATGATATGTCCTGTCTTTTTTTCAATGTATATATACTTATACTCTTCGTATTTGAACTAATTTCAATCGGTTTATTAATTTTCTTCCAAATATTATAATCTAAAACTGTAATGTTTGTATTGATTACTACAGGGGTCCTGTAACATATGATACTCATAAAATCCTTGGTCATCTACGTCAACATTGGCATGCTATTTGCTCTTTTGGATATTGATGCCGTTATTTTGTTTCAGATTTGCATTTTACCATCATTCCTGCTTTAATTTTCTGCATCTATCATATGGATGAGGTCAATGTCATTAGCTTGGTTTTTGGCCAGATTCTGATGACCTTGAATCTTCATGTCGCCAGGTGTGGAATGCACTCTATCCCAAAATTTAAATGGTTCCTACCGGGTGAAGCTTTCTGCTAATGCCACGAGAACGGTAGCGGAGCTGAGACAACCAATTGAAGAGCTTCTGAGAGGGAAGATTGTAGATCATGCTAGCCTGACTCCTACTGTTCTACAGCATCTGACCTCTAGAGATGGCATTGATCTAATAAGTTCACTACAGCGGGAAGATGGAGTCTACATTCTTTTTGACAGGCAGAGACTTAGTTTACGAGTTTTCGGTTCTCAGGAAAAGATAGCTGCAGCTGAGCATAAGTTGATTCAATCCCTTCAGACACTTCATGAGAGCAAGCAACTAGAGATTCACCTTCGATGCAAATCTCTGCCTCCCAACCTCTTGAAGACAGTGGTCGAGGAGTTTGGGCCCGATCTCAATGGTCTTAAACAGAAGTTTCCCGGGGCTGGATTTACGTTAAATACTCGACATCATACTTTATCTGTCCATGGTAGTAAACATTTGAAGCAGGAAGTTGAAACAATCATTTATGAGCTTGCAAGGATGAGTGGTGGTGGTTCAGCCAAAAGGCCTGATGATGCAGATGCTTGTCCAATCTGCTTATGTGACATTGAAGACGACAAGTTTGAACTTGAAGGGTGTGGACACCATTTTTGCCGACAGTGCCTTGTGGAGCAGTTCGAGTCCGCCATTAAAAACCAGGGAAGCTTCCCAGTATGTTGTGCCCGACAGACATGCCGGTCTCCCATTCTACTTGTTGATATGAAATCTTTGTTGTCGGACGAGAAGTTGGAGGAACTCTTTCGAGCTTCGTTGGGAGCTTTTGTTGCTTCTAGTGAAGGTGCCTACAGGTTTTGCCCGTCTCCTGACTGCCCCTCCATTTACCAAGTGGCACACCCCGAGACGTGCGGGGAGCCATTCGTGTGTGGGGCATGCTACTCAGAGACATGTACTAAGTGCCATTTGGAGTATCATCCTTTCCTATCGTGCCAACAGTACCGTGTGTTTAAGGAAGACCCAGATTCATCACTGAACGAGTGGCGCAAAGACAAAGAGAACGTCAAGAACTGCCCCGTTTGCGGGTACACGATCGAGAAGGTAGACGGGTGCAACCACATCGAATGCAAGTGTGGAAGGCATATTTGTTGGGTGTGTTTGGAGTATTTTGGTAGCAGTGATGAATGCTATGGCCATTTGAGGAGCATTCATATGTCCTTCGTTTGAGCCTCTCTCTTTCAACTTAACTTTTGTGAATTAGTATGTATAAATGAATCGTTAGGTTCTTAGGCGAAAATTGTACACAGGGTTCCATTTCATCACCCATCCAACCCCAATAGCATATATGTCTTCTTGTATATAATTATATTATAATACAAGTGTATGAAGCCAGGCATTTGCCCTCAGTATTTCAAGTTATGAAATCTGTAAATTATTCTATAGTTTCCTAAATATTAATTTGGTTTCTTACCGGTGTTTTTTCTCTCTACTTTATTCTATGTTGGAGTAAAATTATAAGTTATACCGCGACCATAATTCAGTTGGAGGATGAAGAAGTTGTGAGTTCGATCTCCGACCCACATGTTAGTACTAAAAAAAACATATAAACATATATATATTGTATGGGTATTGTTAACCGAATAAATAAAATTGATTTGTGGAGCGTAAGTACAAGAGAGAGAAAAAAATCCTACTAAATACAGCGTCGGAAAAAAGAAAAAAAAAAGGGCAAAAAGGTAATATTGTCATCTCTGGTTAAGAATTGGGTCTTCATCGACATTACAGGTGTAGCCGTAGAGAAAGCCCACTCCCACAACAGTGAAGCAAATTGCCAAAGCCCAAACCCATTTCATAGCTTCGCCGCCGCCTCCGCCGCCGGCCGCCGGCGCATCGGAATCCCCATTTCTCCTGCTCTCTTCCTCGTCGTGCATTTTCTGCAAATTGGAGAGCCGAAGCTGCAGCAACTTCACCGATTGGCGGTAAAAGAAAATCAATCTGGCCTCGTCTTCGAAAGCCCTACTGATACAATCCCTCTCCTCCATCAATTTCGCGGCCTTTCTCTCCGCTTCTCTCGCCCGCGTCTGCGACAGCCTCAGAGCCTTCAGTAGCTCCAATTTCTCCTCCACGCCGCCGGATTCCGCCTCATCCCGCTCCCGATCTTTAACTCTGGCCATGCCCGTGAATATCTTCTGCGGCGGCGGGAGATCGCAATTCCGAATTAGGTCAACGCCGGGTTTGTGGGAAAATTCGAGCCCCATGAGGAGCATGTCGGCCGAATCCATGGCTTTGGGGTTCATGATCGGCGGTAGTTTGGGAATTCCGATCAATCGGAATTCAGAAAATCGATTGGATTTAGAGAGCGGTGGGGGTGGGAGCAAGGAAAAAGTAAAAGAGTAGATATGGAATTGACAAAATTATCAATTGGATTTGGGAAATAATTCTTTGCTTGCTTCTTCAGATAAACTTGCTGTTTATTTTTGCTTCAAAGCTTCAAAATATGGCGCTTTTTTAAGTAGAGGCCAAGGCTTCAGTTTAATGATCTCAGATTCATAGCGTGAGGGTTAACGAGCAAAAAATTATTATATGAAACTATTGGTACAAGAGAATTTAATTTTTCTTATAAGATCGTTTTTTCTTAATTGTGTAAGTTAATTGCAATTGTGGAAACCAAAAATCTAGCTATCACACAACTTAACTTTGTATTCTCTAAACTCAAATTTGAATCTTTTACAGAAACTCGTAAATTTTTGTTAGCTGATAATATATATCCTCGTTGACACACAAAAAAAGAAAATAGAGATCAGATTTATGTTCCTTGAGATGGGCCAAGGCCCATTAGGGTAAGTTCTTGATCCAACTTGCAAAAGGTAGCTAAATTGGTTCTCTGTTGGTGTTGAGATGGGCCATGGCCCAAGTGATTGATAGAGTAAGCCTCTGCCAATGGACAAGAGTTTGGCCAAATCTCAAGTGTGTGGGAATAAAATTAAAGTTTCTAAAATGTTAACACGGTTTATGATTTTTAGGAGTTAGATCGAGGTCTATTGAATAAAATCAATTGGGTTTAAAAATTTATCCCTCATTTATTAATTTATAGGACTCTAACTCATTGAATATCATTAACTTATATTACGGTTAATTTTTTAGTTTTATTAATTTTTTTTGTAATCTTTAGAGACTATTAAATAAATTTGTCAATATGAACATAACTCATCACTTCCCAGAATCTACGTTTTGCTTACTAAAAAAAGACTTTCAATAAATTTGCTCTGAGTCATCCAATGAATTTGAACTATCACATCCAACATTCTAAGCACTTAATTTTTAGAATCAATCACTATCAAAAACTTGTATCTTTTTTAATATAAAATCTGAAAAATAAATATTGAAAATACATGTAAACTCTCTTTCACACGGTGCAACAAAACCAAAGGGGTTCCCACTCCATTTGTTCGTCTGATTCTTGTCCATAGCTACTCTGGCGAAGAGAGGTCGCTCGGCAAAGAAGGAATGAGAAATCGTCAAAGACGACTTGTTTGTTGGTAAAACGAAGGGCTAAATAGCGCCAATGATTCTTTGAGCCGATCTGGATTTCCAATGCCTAAGGAAAGAGGTCACAACGCCTTTTTATTCTCTTCCTTACCGGGGAATCTTCTCCTATGACCTTCACCTCCTATTCGACCCGAAAATCGAACCCAACCTCCTTCTAATCCATTCATTTATGCAAGTAGGAGGGATGAATAGCCAAGCAATAAGCAGAGTAGAAAAGAGATTGCGGTTGCGGGACCCTCCTTTTTATATATAAATATTATACTTTTTATTTATCTAAGATTTTAATTTTGATAACTTTGGCCATTTGAACTTTTTCTCCCTCCTGTTTTGATATTTTAGAAGATACATAGGCTCACAAAATCAGTCCCCACTTACAAATATACGATTGGAAATTTTGGATTTGTAAAACTTGTGCAAAGGGAATGATACGAATATTTTGATCAATATTTTTCATCAGATCAGTTTAGTAGTTAAAACAATTGAGAGAAGTTGCTTCGACTGAAAATCTTTTAAGTTTTCTACCACCAATTCTATCTTTTCTTTTCTTTTGCAACTGAACTAATAAATACACTCAATAATGATCTAAATTGAAAAGAGGAAAACACCGAACACGTGAGGAGAGAGCTAGAATTTACATTGAATATTCTTTTATTCTTTGGGAAGGGAAGGTCTGACATATAAATTTAAATTTCGGTTAACCGGTAAACTTCAAAATAAACTTACACATACAGACATAAACTCAACTTCTTAATTTTATAATTTTTTAGATTTTAACAATACATGAGAATGAGAATGAAGATTTATTTGTTTTCCAAAGTGTGGGCATTTAATTGAATGGTGAAGGTGGGTGGCGTGGAAGAACGTACAAGTTAGAATGGTGAAAACGACCAAGAAATAAAAATCTCTCCCCGAGGAGAGGGAAAGAGAGAGAATTCATTGACTCGACATTTTAAAGTAAGCTTGTTTGGTCACGGGTGTAGTCTCTTCCCCCCACGGATCAGGACTTTCTCTTCCCACCCAATTAAAATTAAATTTCAACTTTTCAGTTTTCACACACGTCCACAAAAAAAAAAAAAGTCTGAGTTTGTTTTAAAGCTAGCTAGGTAACCAATCTTTAAACTCTTCTTTTGTAAGAAGTCTGAGTTTTTCTAGAAGAAGTCTTAATGAAAAATACTCTGATTCAAAGTGGATGTCGACAACCTTGTCGAATCCTTTCTCTTGTTCTCTTCTTTCATTTGATTCTTGTTTTGTTTTTTTTTCCCTTGTAAAAAACTAGGAGTATTTTAGATTTGTTAACAAATGGAAAAGAAAGGAAAGGGAAGTGATTTTGATAATGACAATGTCAAAATCACTCCCAAATACATCCTAAGCAACAAATTAAGAGATATTATGTAGATATAATTCTAAGCCAACTACATTTACAAATGCAACCGAAAAAAATGAACAATTTTGAGGTTACATTGGAGTTGGAAGGATAATATATAGTCCAACATTTCATTGAAATGAATCTATGTAATAATATAAGCTATATATCATTTTCTTTTAATTTTTCATGTCACTGCCTAAGGGTCAACTTTTATTGTGAAATTTAGTGAACGCTAATGAACAAAGGGAATGAAACCTTGATTATAGGATAGTGATGTGGTTGCAAAGCCCAAGGAATTATCTATGACGATCAAATTAGTAATTAGATGGGCCAAATACAAAAATGATGTATTCAAAGTGTCGTATTTTTATTAAGTAAAACTGATTTCTCCTACTTCAAATTTGAAATAAACATATTATATATAGGTTTGGTTAGAGGTAACCATAAATATCAGAGTGGCATGACTTTGATCATCGAGAGGATATGGAGCACGTATTTATAATGGCTTGTCAAAATTGTTTTATCTAGCTACACAATTAATTTAAATTAATAAAAGACTATCACATAAGTTCGCATATCCTATCTATGAAATAAATATTATTTTTTAATTTAAAAAATTAATTAAATATCACCCTTTTAACTCCCAAATATTTCAAAAATTTCAATCAAATCATTTATTTTTGCCCTGTGGTCGAATATTTATCCTTTCCAAAGAGTCCAGATTATTTCATTTTATTTATTTAACTTTTAAATTTTAACACTCTACTGTAAATTAGGGAGATTACTTGTAAATCTAAACATAGTAAATAGTGAGTTCAAATCTAAGCTCTTGAACTAAAAAAAGAAAAGTTAGAAATTACTTCTTATCATTTATAATTCTATCTTAACCAAATGTACGAAGAGAATTAAGAGTAAAAATTTTAATGATATAAAACTAGACTAATTAACTAGAATTCATTTTTTTTAATTCGTTAATTTATTTTATAACCTACTCTCTAAAAATTCCTAGCCAATTTTTAAAATGAAAAAAAGTAGTTTCAATAATATTTTTTTCCTAATTGAAAAAGACTTCAAAAATCAAAAGTATTTTATGATAAGTAAAAAAATCAAAACAAATATATTTAATTATCTTATTTATATTAAAAAAAAAAGTCGTGGTAATTGGTCAACTTAACCTTGGTCTTCATGAACAGTTTCCTTAGAAAAACAATGGGAAATGCTTTAAAGAAAAAAAGCTGATATGGACACTTTTCCTTTAATATTCCAAAAAAAATAACTTTTTTTTTCCCCTTAAAAGTTGCTGTCAATTGAAATATGGAAGAAATTGGGAAGTCGCTTTCAGCTTTACTGAAATTTCAGCTTTGGGAGGTGTCGTATTCTTTTGGTGGATGGCAAGAAATTTCCAAATTCTCTACCTCAATTTTTAAAATTAATTAATTAATTGAGTAACGATTGACAGATGGCTTCGCTACATATAATAAAATAAACAATCACTTTCCCTTCGGCGTAGCTCAGCAGCCGTTTCAGCTCCACCCTTCAAATTACTAAATTCTCCATTCCAACACACGTTGTCTAATTTACTTCCATTTTAATGAATTTTGTTGAGACATATACTTTGAATAAAGTATTTTTCATGTAAAAAGAAAAATACTCTCTAGTAAAATAATCGGTAAATTTTAGTTAGGTTAACTAGACTAGCGAAGTGCACACAAGTCTAGTTGAAGTTAAGCACGTCTGAAAAGTATACTATATATGAAACTACTTATAAGAAAATATCATTGGGAGTGGAAACTAGACATTGGTATGATGTTAACCAAACATTTTCCAATGCATAAGTTAGATTGGAATCATCATTGAAGTAAAGTTTTATTGCAATAATGAACCTACCTTAAGTGATCTACCGTGATTGTGACTATATTGTTGAATGTGATGTGTTGAGAATGTATCACACATGATTGAGAGTATAGATATCAGTATTGTCCTTTTTTTTAAGTACAATAACAAGTGAAGGTAGGACCTCGAACTTACAACTTTTTGGTTGAAAATAGGTGTATTAACTAGTTGAACTATACTAAAATTGGTAGATATCAGTAATGTCAAGATGCATGTTTCATCTAACTAATGATATTTAAGTAACGGTTGCTAAAAAGTTGAGCTATATTAATATTGGTAGATCTTTCATATATATTTCCTATTTCTCAAGTAAACAAATTATGTTATGATTGAGAATGAGATAGTAAAAAGATAGATAAAAAGTGTTAATTGTGTGGGAAGGAATTTTATGTATGGTTGTTAAATTGAGCCACATTCTCATTGTTCCAACATCCTTTCTTGATTTTTTGATAAAATTATGCTCCAACTTGACCCAAATCACCAAGGGAA